TATGTCAGTAGCAGTATGGTCTGTGGTTCTCCAGCTGTGTCACCACCACTTTCCTGCTCAGTGTCAAATGTTTAGTTATTCATCTGCCTCTTCAACACTAAAGGTACTTCACTGTTCTGAAAATATTCCTGCTAAAATTGAAAAGATTTTTTTCTCAAAGTGATGCTGAAAAAACAGTTTGAGCATTTGTTACTTTGAGGTTTGACTTTGACGGTAATCATTATCTTCTAAATGCTCCCACAGAAGTTTTCAGTTTCTCCAAAATGCTGCAGTAAGATTACAGAGACACAGGCATTGAAAAAGAGATTGTACTTCTCCCATAATAGCTTCTATTACCCCATTTTCTGGACTCTAAGGCACACTGTCACTGAATGGGTCTGTTTTCATAAATAAGGTGCACCGGATCATAAGGCACAACAACAAGTTGTGCCTTATAACAAACTTTATTTGTCACATACACAATCACACAACATGAGTACAACATGTAGTGAAATGCTTGTGTCTGAGCTGCGAACAGGCTGCAGATGTAGCCGCACTCTTCCCGGGCTTAGTTAAAACAGCTGTGCAAACATGACACCGGTGATAGTTTGATCGGAACGTCAGGGAAAAGCCTGCGGGATGCAACCCAAAGGCCCATCCCGAGAGCAGAGAAACTGCCCCACACTGTCTGCAGACACGGGAGGTGGCTGAAAGTCAGGGGGCAGTCGGAGGGAGGGCAAGCCCTGAGAGAGGCCACTTGGTCCTCAAAGGCCTCCAGCTGATCCCCAGGGCCCGAGGCTGGGACATCAGGAGCAGAAGTGTAGCTCACCACTGACTGGGACCCCTGCTGGCCGCGCAAACCCATGACACGCGGGCAATACACTAGATAGGGAGAGGATGGTGGAGGATGGAGAACTGTCACCTGCTGGCTGAGGTGTCAGACACAGTGAGTTCCGACTGGCTCGTTAACCGGCGAACCACGGGCAACACACCAGGGGACACAGCCTGCAACAGCAGGTTGAGCAAGGGATGTGACCCGAAGGTCCGTCCTGAGAGCCAAGCAGCCACTCCGCACCGTCCTTGGACAGAGGAGCAGCAAGAGTGAACTCGTGAACGAAACACCTGTAGGCTGCCAGGAAGTTTAGCTCACTGAGTGAGCCCCTGAGTGGCCGCGTAAACCTGCGGTTTCCTTTTAAATTCAGAGTTTATAAAAATCCTTTTCTCATGATTTCCCGAATGATCAGGCCATAAAGAAACAATAATAGCATATTCACTTTTGCAGGTTAAAATTGTGGTTCTTAGTGTTTCCAAAAAGTAGAATTAGATAATTAAACTTGAAACAATAGTGTTAAATGGACTAACTTTTATATAGCGCTTTATACAACATCCCACATTCACCTAAGCACTGTTTTCTAAAATTCATACTCTGATGGATGCAAATGGGGGTTAGTATCTTGCCGAAGGATATTTGGCATGCAGACTGGGGGAGCCAGGGACCGAACCACCAACCTTCCAATCAGCAGATGACCTGCTATACCTCCTGAGCTATAGCCACCCCCTTGATAATCTGACTACATAACAAGTCTTATCTAGTCAAATGGATGGATGGCCCTGTATTTGGAGATGAGAAGAACAAATAAAACAATCCTTACGTGCAGTATTCACAGATGGATTGTTTTTTTCTTTTTTTGTTTGTTTACTTTTGTCTGCAGTCTATCAGGCTGTCTGGTTACAGAGGAAGGCTGTACTTCTCTGGCTTCAGCTCTGAGCTCCAACCCCTCCCATCTGAGAGAGCTGGACCTGAGCTACAATCATCTGGGCAACTCAGGAGTGGAGCTCCTTTCGTCTCGACTGAAGGATCCAAATTGGAGACTCGACACTCTCAGGTATGGGAATAGTGTCTGATAGAGGAGGAAGAGCTGAAAACATTTTCTTTAAATAATTTAATTCTTTAATTTGTGTTTGTTTCATGCAGATGTGACATAAACAAACACACTGCAAACTTCTATCTATATTTAATTATTTAACTATAATTATTTACAGCTGTGGCTCAATTTGTTGAAACAACTTTGGCAGCAATTACAGCCT